ACTATATCAATAACTTTCTGAAGTAAGTAACACGAATCACTCTATTTTTTACTCATTACATAAAACGTGATAACGTTCAATAATTCATAAATATAAAGAAGTAGCTCAGTGAGAGATTGCAATTCACTAGAACATTGGACCCGCATGGCAAAAAACAAACTAGCCATCAGAGTACGGAATGAGATCAGTGAAAAAAGAGAGCATTATTGAAAAGCGAAAAGAAGTAATGCAATAAAACCAGTTTAAGACTGATAAGTCATAGAGTCAGATTACTAAAGCAACCCTAAGAGAAAATGAATGTCTAAAGCTGTTTACTTCTCACACGAAACAAGTTAGTCGCGATTTCAGTTGTGAGTAGTTGGGGACTCCAGCAGAGTGGAAACAAAAAATTCAATAACCAGTAACGACCGAAAATCAGGCGGAACCTCTCACCAAGAGTTGTGCTGAAAGTGAATATCATACCATGTACATTCAGACAAGTTCGTCTTACACAACAAATAGAGCTATAGGTTCTAAGCGCCGCTGGAGAGCTATTGCCTAGCGAAACAAGACCACGTCAATCTACTCGTCTGCGTGAAAGGAAGGACTTGAGAAAGGGAGGTACACTTATAGCGCCCTATCAAGCTGCGATATACCGAACCCCACGCCCACCGCGCCAGCCCGCCCACAAATGTCCGACTGATGCTGGTCCTGGTTCCGCTTCATTTGCGAAGCACAATATGAAGCGAAGGGATTGATATGAAGCGGCTGCGATTGCCGCATGGACATATGGAGTACACAGGGCTTACAGCATTGTTGTGTGAAACACACAGGGGTCCGTACTTTTTTTCTGGGGAAGGGAGGTCGTATTTGGTCGTTAGGGGCGAGAGGGGATCGTATGTGTTTCTGAGAGAAAATTGTCGTGTTGATTTTCCGGTTGTTGACTTTTTGCGTGGTTTTTTTCCTGTTTCATGACTAAATTCCCCTCTCCCCTTCCCCTCCCCCTCCCGCTCGATGGAAAATTTTTTTGTGAAAAAAGTGGAAAACGGGGGGGGGAAATTTTGGTAGGTAGCGTGTTTGGCGATGAGTGGGCGTCGTACCGGGCAGACCCCTAATTTAGGTCGGGGGGGGGGGGTCGTACTTAGACACACCTCTCTCGGAGGAGGGTCGTTCCTACACACCAACTCACATATCGAAGATGCCTGCTACCCTGTGAGTACATCATAGAGCCTACTGTAGCGGGGCCTGGCACAACGCCAAGGGAAACTCGTCCAAAATTGCTTTCTGAACCGTGTGGACAAAGGCTTCCCTGACCTTCTCACTTCGCTTTTTTTGCCATTTTCCTCACTTCATAGCACCCCTGCTCCGAGTACCAAATTATCGTGTATTATGCCTTCAAGGAAAGTGAAAACATGACGTGGCTTAACTTCACGACGTCTTCACCGAGGCACATCTGCACTTTGCGGCACTGGAACAGCATTGATTTGGCGCATTGTTCGCATCAGGGAAAATGATGGCTAAGCCTCGCCTCACAGCAGCCTCCGCAGGCATCGTTGTGTGTAACACAATAGGGGGCTCGGTATTCTTGGCTTCTTGGTTTGGGGCAGGGAGGGCATGATGAGCATGTTTGTATTTGGCGTTGCTGGAAGAGGGTTTTTAGGATGCGTAAGTGGCTTTGAGAGCGAAGTGGTTAAAATCGTAGAAAATGTTCACCGATTTTATGGCTATGTACCCCCCCCCCCCCCAGCCCGACGGAAAATTTCTAGGTGAAAAACTGGAAATGTTTGAAATTGGTAGGTAGGTGTTGGGGAAGGGTCGAACTGATACCCTCTCCTCTAAGGTGGCCCGGAAAGGGGTCGTACTGGCACGCTCTGCCGTACTACACCACCACTTCGCACACCACGATGCTGTACCCTGCTCCTGAGACACAGCGCCAGGGTTATAAGTGTAACAAAAATTGCTGTTGAGAAATTTGCCATATAAAGTAAAGAAGTAAGAAAAAAGGACTTCAATAATCGAAAAAAAGCAGCTACATGAAAATTGAAAAAAATCGAATAATTTTAGAAAAATGGAATTAGTTCACTTTAGCACTCTCGCACATAATAAAACACTCTATAAATATTCAAAAATCAACTAACCCGTCACCATCGAAGGCATCTCTTACACTGCTATGATATTCATACATTGTGTACCCATAGCTCGTATAATAAATCTGAAAAGAGATTTCCGCTACATGACTTTTATAGGCCAGATTTTCTTGTTATTTCTTACCTGCATGCCAAAGAATGCTCCTGCTGCTACAATGCTAGCAAGCATGAATGAAAATACTGTACACACGAAGGCATGTAGGAAACCTGTATAACCATGATCCATCGTCCAACGGCAACTGGACCAACACAGTACAAAAACCCTAGTGGGAAGCTGAAATAGCGATAATGTAGGGAAGGAAAGGCTAAACAGTAGGAATTATACGCATACCCTTCTGAAGAGGCTCGGTACAAGTATACAAAGGTGTAGCGCGTTCCAGCTATCAGTCCTATACAGCACCAAAAAAGAAATGTGATGAAATAGCGCTGAAACGGATTGCATAAGATACAGTGTTACTACCCTTTCTTCCAGTTTCTCCGAGCAAAAAGAAGTACAGTCTTGTTCGCCACGGATGATGGGGCGTGTCACTGAAGCACGGAATCAGCGCGCTACCAGCCCCGTTCTCTCCAACTGTTGTTGAAGTGAGAAAGAGACAACAACTGGTGGAAAACGACTAATACGATACCATCTTGCCGTTTGCCTAAAAACGGCTTGAACTGGGCTCAATTCATCCCCCTCCCCTTTTTTACACATCACATCATCCACAGCGAACAAGACTTTACGTGAGTGATGCACGAGTAAGCAAAGTAAATAAGAAAAACCAGAAAGGAAAGTAGTGAGAAATAAGTCAGGTAACGTAAAACTACTTGAACTTTCTTGCGTAGTTCTGTCGCGAAATCTTGTGCTACGCATAGAGTATAGCGGCTGTCAAAGCATCGAACGGCGACATAACGTGCTGCAAACCAGGGATGGGTTCTTGTTCAAGGGCAGGAGACTCCAGGGTGTGAACGTTGTCATACGAGAAAACGTGAAATGCGGGAGGGCACAGTGATCACAGAGCCGTCACCACGTAAAGGAAAGAACACGGAAAACTGCAAGAAGCCGACGCGATCAAAGGGACCTTCTACGTAGACTGGAACCTTTTTAGGCAGAGTCATTTCTACGGGCTTTTCAGCTCAAGTTTATTTAAGGGTGTTAAGCATAGAAAAGAAGGAAAAGAAAAGTAGAAATGATAGAACAGACAGATCTAGCCAACCGCCAGTGAAACGGAGCAAGTAACGCAAATGTAAATGGTAAACTTTTCCACCTAGCCAATATCTCCTCAGTCGTTCTTCCTCAATTTACCTGTACTTGAATTCAATTGAGTGCATTTAAAATCCATTTTGCTCAAATTTAATATTCCGCTAGACTTACTTGGTTTCCGAGTCCAACACATGCGCCAGTTATAAAGCAGTGATGATCCTTCCGAAGGACACAAATTTTACATATGGGGCAGTGGTGACTTCTGTAAACGAGCCTAGTCCCTTTGGGAATTCATTCCTTATAAGGTATCACATGTTAACAAGAATTTCAATAAAAAAAACCCTCAGACTGCCAGCTTACCTAATCGGAGCATCGCGATTGCAGATACTGCAAAATCGTGAGAAATACGCCGGATCAATACCATCTTCATCCTCTTCCAACCATACCAGTTCATCTGGACAGTAGATCATCTTCACAAGTTGGACATCATCGTATAGGGGCAAGTTAACTATGCTTATAACGGTGATTAAAGATAGATTGTATGATTACAGGAAGGCGGGGCAGTCCCGTGTACAAGTTATACCCTACTTCGCTCAGATGAAGGAGGCGTGTCAGGCAGTATGAATGTGCCACGGCGCCAAACCTGACCTCTGCCATGTGTTAAAGCGGGAATGCGACAACAACTGGAGAAAAACGAGTGATACGAATGATGTGAACATCTTACCACATGCTCACTTCAACAGCTCGTGGGAGAACTTGTTTGACACCGCGCCAAACTCTTCCCGCCTGACACGCCCCTTCACCCACAGCGAACTAAACTATAAGCAGGCCCACGCTTAGGAAGTGAGTCACTCGTGCCATTCAAGTGCTGTGAACTGATTTATGGTACTTGTGCCTGCGCCCGCCACCTGATTAAGCCACGCGACCACGTGATGTGCACTGTACCTTTGTGCCCTCTCTGCGAGGGACCGATGAGGTCTCTTTTGAACATGAGAACCGTGAGGGTTCATTTGAACACAATTTAGATAAAGAATATGATATTAGGTTGTCCCAAAAGTTCGTGGACACTTTTTGAATCTCGTATCAGATCTTTCCGCAGCCATTTCGAGATCCAGTTATGTGGTCTATGGGAAGTGTGTTAGGTAAGCATTCCACAGCTTCTTCACCGTCCCTCGCAGTCGCTGTTCTCATATGAAAAACGGTAATTGAAATTCATCATTTTCGACACACTTCGCTATATGAATCTCTACCAAGCCACAACGTGGTTGGAGCCATAAGCGGCATTTCCCTTATTTAGATCTTGATGTTACCTTCCACAGTACGGCTTTGGAATGGCCCAATTGCTTCCGCTTTAGTGACTTCTATCCGGGTGAAAAACTTCGTCCAAGGAGGCCACCTGCCTTGGATTTGGACCTACTGTGTTCCTTGATTAAAACCAATACGTACAAATCAACTTGCTATCTAGTCCTTACACTTGACTGGTCCCAAAGCACAAATGAGAGAGGGCCTCGCTTCCTTAGAAAAGTTCTGAAGTTCGGTCAAAATTTTTCTCATGAGTTGACCAGTACTCCAAGGGGAGCACATGTGGGTACTGTCTACAACTTCTCTCCCGCTTCCGCTGTACGGGCTGGTTGAACAGCACTGTAACTGGATATGGAGTGGGTGCCTCTAGGTGAATCACTCCTGGGAGCGCCAGCGGCTAGATCCCCAGAAAGGGCAGAACCGATCGCAATCCTATCAATCCAGTAGGGCGGTGAGACTGTGTATGTGGTGGGGTTTCTTTCTCCCTTCCCATAACGGAATTTCTTCTTCTCAGCGCTGTGGTAACCTACGAACCCTATTGTAATCAACTGCAAAGGGGGTTGAAAATCGCTAACATTTGGTCCCAAAACCGAGCAATGTTTGCCTACTCCACCACAGCTCAGGGTCACACATTTGGAAAACGACACTGCTCGAGATCCCGAAGCTTAGCTGGGGAATTCCACCACAGTCTTCGTGTAGCCCTGACTTAGCTCTTTCCGATCGCCATCTAAACTAATCCCACAGTGGCCATCTTTGGGGAAAAATACGATTTTTGATAGTACCTCAAAAATGACCCAGCTGCCTTTCTGGGCACAGAACCAAGAGGCTTCTGGAAGCAGGGCAACCACACATTGCGTAGTGATTGGCAACAAGTTGCCAATGAAGGTGACATACAGGGGGGGGGGGCAAAAAAAGTCACTTTTCTTCATTGACTTTCGAGGCGCTATAAGTTACACTTTATAAATTCTAATCGGACATTTCTACCACCATTAAGAGCTTAAATACTATTATAAAACTCCGCCACAGCCTTCTGGACGAGCGCCATCGAGAGATTCTGGCACGCGACCGCGATGTGGTGCCTGAGATCAGCGAGATAGTCGATTTCTCCGCCACCGTAGACCACCCTATTGAACTCCGCCCGAACCGGGTAATTGAGGGGATTCAGGTCAGGTGACCTACTTGGATATTCCATCTTCTTAGGTACTCAGCCCCTTCCATTCCAAGTAGGCGAGAGTTTCTCCAACGCCCTTCGATTCCACGTGGTGGCACCCAATGCTGTAGCAGTACAAAGTTTCCAAGAGGTAGGGGCGGCGACATGTGGGGAGGATATTCTTCTCGAGTTGCTCGATGTAACCGCCAGCGCTCACCTTCAGTCCGGGTCCACGAAGAAAATATTGGTCTTTCCATTCCAGGTACCTCCGGTCCATACCATCAACCCGCTCCTTGACGACTGCGGTGAAGATGATGTCCTAGACCGTAGCGACGTTGTCGGAGCTGCTCGATGTTGGAGGTCTTCCAGATCGAGAGTACTGGTCTCCAGGTAGCTATCCATGGGTGACTCCATACTAGAAGTTTCGCAGCTGTTTGGAGGTGACATGAATTCCAAAGGTCTTCTCCAGGCTGCGACTGGAGATGACTTCATATTTTGGTGTACATGAAGGTGATGGGCGAGAGCCAGCTCCTGCTTATAGAGGAACATCTTGGGTATCTTCCGCCCTGGTACTCGTATCCACATTTCTCTCTGGGCTGCAAAAACTTTGCTGATATGTGACCCCCCCCTGTATATGTAGTTGATTAAAATTTATTCCCACTGGAATAAACTTAATTCGAAAAAATGTTCGAAAATTCCACGAACTTTTGGGACAACCTAATACTTCCCCGGAAGAGCTCTCACTTCATTCAATCCTTGGTCAGATAGTGTAGACACGCGGTGGGCAGCGGGGCCGTGCAGCGTATCAAATGGCAGGCGTATCAAATATGTCTAGTTTCTTCTCCACGAGTTTTCGAGCGGCAAAATGATCACTACTGCAACTGTGAATCTGCACGCTTTGAACGCGGAACGATCCTCCTATCAGGTCATTTCAACAGGTCTTCTTCAATACAAAAGTTAAAACTCAGTGAAAACAGCAACAAATGAAGCACCTATCAGCGCACATCCCCTTGCTCTTAATAAAGTGGCACACCTATTGAAATGAACTACTACTGAAAAAGGCCACCCCAAAGGTGGTCTAGTGCTAAAGTCGAAGGCAGGACGCAGTCTCATTCACTATGATTTACCAAAAAAAATCGGCACAGTTCGGCGACGTTGGGTGAGGGGCATTTTCCACTTTCGCTGCTCCACTACTTCCGCTTTACAAGTCTCACTCTGGTGAAACCTGTTTACAGGTCTCACTCTGGTGAAACCTGTCAACTATTGTGAAGCTCCAGCTCCCCTAGCCACCATAGTAAAACCAGTCTACTCCTGTGAACTCACGAAATGGCTCCCTACACATGGGTCGACGCTTCGATGGGAAGCAGTAAAAGTGCAAAATGCCCCCCCCCCCGTCGCCGAACTGCCTCAAAAAATCATAAGAACCTACCTATGTTTATCGCGCTTCTACACAACCCAGCTACACATGCTTGTCGTTGCCAGTGAGATACGCAGTTATGTCTGAAAAGTCGTAGTTTAAGTTTAACAAAGAAAACACAATCACAAAACTGCTGAAAACAATACCGTGAGTAGTACTGAAATAACACTAAGTTTACTAATATTTCAAGTATAACAAATACACCAAGTTTAGAAACAAGATCACAATGGTCGGCTTGTTCCGTCGAATAACATGATAGCTTCAATCCAACGTAAAATACGGATATCAACATAAAAACCTGAAATAAAGACTCTTTAATAAACATGAGTCTTTGAAAACATGCGACATCCGAGAGAAAAATGAAAGCCATTTCCGTTACTCCCGTACACAGATGTCACTACAGCTTGATTTACTTCAAACGCTTCAATCGATACAAAACCCCGACGTATTAGGGGGGGAGGGGGAGAGACGAAACAAGGAGCCAACCAGATTCTGGAAGAAGGCAAAGAAAAGAAAAAGAACTAGAAACAGTCAGCAGAGATAGCTTGCCCCCTCCCGAACTCCTGGAAATGGGAGCGCAAATACCAAATGACCAGCAAGGATGTTAAACAGGACAAGAGCCGTCGTACAAACGTACAAACGTTAAGCCACACTTGATTAGGCTGCGCTCATACATTGCGAAGGGGGAGAACAGGAGGACGCGTGCGAAAGAAACCGGTGGGTATCGATCGACGTCTACTTCCCTACTCTTCCAACCACCTATTTTCTCAAATCGCCCGTGAACGGAGTAGATCAAATCCTTTGTATGCCTTTGGTGCTCATTTTCAGATTCCCCGCTATATGATGCACTCTTATTGCTTGTCGTAAAGTATGAGCTCGGTCTACCAGTGAATTTGGCCACAAATGGACCACCGCCTGCGACTATAAACGGGAGGGCTATGATTGGAACAACTGAGGTAATGGACCAAAACTATGGAATCCGCCAAATTACATCGTGCCAAGAACGTGCGCTCAAGAACCAGAGAGTAATGGGATAGTGTGAGTTATCAAGGACATTCCCCAGAGCATGAACATGTTTACCACCTGAAACCCCAAAAGCATCAGGGGCGCTGTTTGTCGACGGTGGGGGGGGGCATTTTGTACTATCATTGCTTCCTCAGTTCCGGTTTACATGTCTCACTCTGGCGAAACCTGTGAACTCTTGTGAAGCTGGAACAAGGTAGTCAAGCCATCATGTTAAAACCTGTCAACTCGAGAAGAGGCTGTCTAGATAGGTCGACACGTCGATGGGAAGTAGCAAAAGTGCAAAATGCCCCCTCCCCACCCCCTCGTCGACAACTGCGCCAGCATCAGGCTCTGCTCATACACATTGGACGCATTGTGAGAGCGTTTTGAGAAGAACGCTTGGGTTTCATCCAGAGCGCTCAGAACGCTAGATTAAACCTGTACTTTCCATTTTGCTCAAAACGCTGGTCTTCTAAAACGCCATATCTATATCAATATTTTCCTTTTCCCTCCTCGCAAAAGATCCTCGCAACTTTCAAAACGCCGACGAAAACAATGAACTCGACCCAACAGCTCCAACATGCTTGCTTCATGAAACAGCTCCTAGCTAGCAGTATACAACCAAATGAGGTGCAAGTATTGAGTACAAAAGCAGTGAAAAAACTCACCAAAAATACACATCCTCCATAGTTTGTAGCTAAATCACCAAATTTAGCGAGTTGACGATTCACATGGATCAAGAAGCGACATGACATTTCGTTACTGATAAACCTGTGCTACTGAAAACCGAGTGATTTCTGTAGTCGCCCATGCAACAAAAGAAAACCATTCCAATTACTATGTATCAATGCAAGATTCGTGACTTTTCGAAGTTGTATAGAAGGCTGAGTATCGATAAATAATTTATCATCACATACATTTTACAGCGATAGATTATGTACATGAAAAATTGTAAAACACGACACGACATTTTACAATTGTACAGCCTTAAGAATGGCAGCAAACTGACAATAAGGTGGAATAGGGAAAAAGCACACCAAGCAAGCAAATTAAACTTGTTTCATCACCGGTTTAAATGATCAGTTAAGCATATGAACCATGGCTGATGTTCGTCGAGCAAGTTTCGCGGGAGTATTACCGGCATCATTTGGTACGCCTATGTCTATACCTGAAAAAAGTTCATTGCGCCTTGAAAAACTTCTCATGCAGAGATCAATCAATAGTATTCGTTTTGACCAAATATTTAATCAACAGTGAAGAGCCATCTACAGTTAAATCGAAGGCTGAGGCTACTACGTGGGCGTGCGACTCCCACAATGACGAGCGTTCTGCATTAACTCGTGAGCTACATGGCAACACATGTGTGACTAAAAATGCATGAAGGGCACCCAACAAACGGCAAGCAAACGTGCGCTCATGAAACAGCGCTTCACCCCTGTCATCTGCCGCGGCCGCGCTCAAACATATCACTTTCTCAGATTTGGACAATTCATGTAGAAGAAATGTGCTCGTATCGATTGGGAATCGAGAAACCACAGAGATGGAAGAAACGGCCAAAAATACTAGACAGGAAGTGATTCTTATTCCCGTCCGCCAAGCGTTCACGAGCGGGTGGAGACGCAAAAGGGAGAATCTGTCTACTGGGAGAAATCTGCTGGAGTAGATACCAATCGGTTCGAATGCCTCCGCTTAAGTACAGAATTGGGCAAAACCGATCCGTAGTGTTTTCTACGAACTCCCACAATTCCTCGATTCTCCAGCTCGGTGCCGGGCCGAGACAGTCCTACTGTCGCCGATGTAGCATTTCTGCAGCAGCCACTGCCAAAAGGCGCTGATCAATCTCTCACTGGGATGCGACACGCGTTCTACTTCCATTCATAATCATAGTACTTTACTGAATAAAATGCGGCCTATACAATCACTAGCCGGGGCCAACGAAGAAGTTAGTTTCTTCATATTGCTAGACAAATCTGGTACCAATTTACCGTTTTTGGAGGACAGAAGACTCGCTCGGCCTGGGCGGGAGCCAACTACCTCTGCCTAAGACGAGATCATACGAGCACTTTCGACTGGGGAAATTAAAAAAATTGTTGATTCAATCTTTAACATTTTCGCTCCGATAGACATGGCATAACAGATACCTGGAGCTTGAGGAAGATACTGGACACTATGGAAGACGTTGTCGGCGTTTTCACATTGGCTGCTGTTAGATGAAGGGCCTGAAAAATACCGACAATCAATGAGGAATGAAATAAAGCTTTACTCGGGATTTCGCACCGTTACAGATCCATTAGAGCGAGCGTTCACATCGACACCGTGAGAAAACAATCGATCGATCAATTCATAATTTCGTAAAGAGGTGTCCAGCCAAGAGGATGCCCACAGTCAGACCTAGGAACGACACATGGTGTAAAATGATAGAAAAACCGGCACTTTCAACTATTACTACCCCAATTTTCCGAAAACGGGCCGGATCTTGATCGACTTTTTTCTACGGGGGCAGATTTGGCTGAAAGTTGGGTTCTAGGGGTAATTCGACCTCCTGAACACGAATATCACATCCGCTCCTCCCGAAACTGCCTGGCGCCCGCGCCACAGGCGCCGGCGCCAAAGTACCCTAGATCACCAAATCCGCTGAAAACTTGTACCCAGGGGTAGTTCGACCTCCTGAACACGAATCACATCCGCTCGGCTCCGGCGCCGTAACGCCCTAAACCACTAGCGCCTGCGGCGCGGGCGCAAAGCACTTTCGGCTTTCGGGCCAAGTGGATGTGATATTCGTGTTCAGAGGTCGAATTACCCCTAGAACCCAACTTTCAGCCAAATCTGCCCCCGTAGAAAAAAGTCGATCAAGATCCGGCCTGTTTTCGCAAAACTGGGGTAGTAATAGTTGAATAGTGCCGAAAAAACCTGTACACAGGGGCTAATTTATCAGATTCAGAGTGGTCCCATACTGCGTCATATTCATTACAATGTGACCTGATTACACCTTTTCGAGGAGCAAACGCTCAACAACAGAAAAAAAAACAATTAATTACCTTGGGACTGTTAGGTCATCCCATTCAAAAGTGCCGAGACATATAGAGGAATGGCAGAAAAGCAAAGGGATAGAGCAGCGGGCTACTATACCATTTGGAAGCTAGTACCTTAAGCTGTGTATCTGTGAAATTTGGCGAACCTACCCACAGAAGAAGTTCTCGAGAAATTGAAAAGAAGCCTGAGTGGTGAAAATCAATACCAAATTTTCAAATCAGGCGTCATAAGAGGAAAGTGCACTGCTCAAATTTGACCTGCGCCGGACCAGTAGTTGTGTGTAATGGTGTTCTCGAAATACAAGGTGGAAGGTTTGGTTCAGGAGCCCGAAGAAGGAAGAAAGGAAAAATTTGTTGTCGTGGATGGTCCCATAATGTTCATCCTGCACAAGAAAAAAGGGTGGATGAAGTCAAGCGCTGAATGTCTGATCACAGAGCCTGGACCTTTGTCGAGCTTCCCCGCGAGACTGACATCCCTGCTGCAACTGCTGCCCGAGTTATGTCCGATAAACTGAGGATGGTCAAGTAGAAGCACGAACGCAGTACCGATTCTATGCCTCTAGCAGTAATGTTCTCAGCATGAGATGTCATTCACGACTGTGAAAACGCACCCGGCCCTAGATGAAATATGGGTGGTCTTGGACCTCGAGCCAAAACTCACAATCGTCAATTTTGTATGAATGCAGATGAGAAGCCGCCCGAGTTCTACCATGAGGAGTTACGTGGGCGCAAGTGGATGATCATCATAGCGAAGGATTCCCACACTGTGGCTTTCAGGCGGCTCTATACAGAGAATGAAA